TATATATATAATTGTTGTTGCTAGGTGCCATCAAATCAACTATGTACAACTCATAGCAACCCTAGATAGGTTGTTGATGAGTCTTCCTCTGATCTGAAGTCCATATATATTCTTCTTTACAATGTTCAGCTTCATGAAGTATTTGCTCAGCATACAGATTGAATAGGTATGTAGAAATGATCCAACCATGCCACACACCCTTCCTGATTTCATGTTAGGCAGTTAATATAGTACCTTCATTGAACAGTATACCCTTGTCCTGTTCAGACAACAGCTTCTTGGTCTAAGTATAGATTTCATATGAACATACAGATTTCATATGAATGTAAGTAAGTGTTTTGGGATTCCCATTCTTCTCAGTGTCAGCTATAGTTTGCTGTGATCCACACAGATAAATCTGCTTTGTTTGCCATCACATGACATCCTCTTTGTATGTTTCTATGTCTAAATATCTTCTTATAATGACATTGGTCAACACAATAGGGCACTTGCTAATCCAGTAAAACCTAAGTTTGACTTGATTACATTTGCAAACACCCTACTCCCAAATATGGAGACATCTACAGGTTCTGGAGGTTAGAACATCAGTATTTTATTGGTAGGCATGCTTAAACTTAGAACACTTTAGTAAAAATAATAAAATAAAACATTTTTAACTTTCTGTATATTGTAGCCATTTTCTTATTTATAATTTTTTGTTTGTACTTTCTCCCTAATTTTTTCCTTCTTAATGAAATATTAACTCCTCTTATGAAAATATTGTAGAATATAATACTAAACTGTTTATAATATTAAAACTAATTTTGATATGTTTATTTTATATATATATAGTACATATATACATACAGACATCTATACAGAAATACGTTTTGTAATATAATTGTTGTATAACACATGTACTATAACATAAAAGTAACAAAAATAAGACTTAAAATATTTTAAAGCTGAAATTTGCTTGTGGTATGTAAATTGAGAAGCCAATTCATATCAAGCAGTTCATACAGTACCTTGATTGTTTCATACATAAAGTAATATTTATCTGCAGAAGTATATTATTATGTTTTTAGCACAAGTCTGTACTTCTAAATGCTTAGAATTATGTAACTTACTATTTATTTGTTGGCTCTTTGTAGAAAGGAATAAACCTATTTTCATGTTCTATTACTTTCTTAATACTATCTGCATTGGTTTGTTTCACAGACTATATAAATAGTGGGCTAAACAGAAGTACTGTGTATATAACAGAGCTCTAGTGGCCTATTGGCAAGAAGCTGTACTGCAATTTCTAAGGCATAGGATCTGAATCCACCAGTTGTTCCCTGGGAGAAGAATGGGCAAGGTCCTCCCACACGATTAACTGCCTCTGAAAACTCACCACAGGCTTCTCTATAGGTCGGTTCCGACTTGATGGTACACAACACACACACACACACACACACACACCCCACATACACACACCCCCACCCTGACTCCCACACACAATTTATTTGTTGCCTCTTTGTAAAAGAGGAATAGACCTATTTACATGGCCTAATACTTTCTTTAATGCTATTTGCATTTCTTTGTTTCGTAGACTATAAACAATGGGGTTAAGCAGAGGTGTCAGTACTGTATATGTAACAGATATCAGCATATCTTCATGAAGTAATTCACTGTTTTTGGGCTTCAAATATACAAAGGAAGCAAATCCATAGTGTATGGAGACTACAGAGAGGTGGGAAGAGCAAGTTGAGAAGGCCTTATACCTACTTTTTGCAGAAGGCATTTTTATAATTACAGACAAAATAAACACATAGGAAATCATAATCAAAACAAAGCTGCCCACTAGCACAAAGAAAAAGAACACAAAAATTATCATTTCATGGATAAAAGTGTAATCACAAGCAAGAAGTACTACAGGTGAGATGTCACAGAAGAAGTGTTGGATAGTTTTGGAATCACAAAAGGACAAGCTGAATATAGTGGAGACGATGCCTAGAGAAACCAAGAACCCAACCGTCAAAGAGGCGATCATCATCTGACAACAGATGCTGCGAGTTATCAGCATATGATAGTTCAGTGGGTTGTGGATGGCAGTGTAGCGATCATAGGACATGGCGGCCATGATGAAGCAGTTGTTAGCTGCCAAACCAAAAAAGAAAAACAATTGTGTGGCACACTCAGGAAGAGAAATGGTTTTGCTGTGTGACAGCAAGTCCACTAGCATGCGAGGGATGATTACCATAGTGGCACAGGTTTCTGAAAAGGATAGGCCACAGAGGAAAAAGTACATGGGAGTGTGAAGATTCCGACTGAGCTTGATGGCCATCATTATTGATCCATTTGCAGCTAGGATGGCCAAATGAGAGAAGAAAATCACCACAAAGAGGACATGTTGTAGGTTTGGGAAACTGGAGAATCCCCACAGAAGGAAAATGGTCATTGCTGTCTGATTGTCCATCATCTTGGCAGATTCAGCAACCTTCTTCCCAAGGTGAAGATGTTTGAATTCAAGACATTGAGATGATTTTAAAACATTTCTTCTGCACTAATTTCATTTGGTCTTTAATCAAGGATTCCCTGGTAAGACAAGAGAGCCTGCAGCAAGGAACGTAGGTGCCCCTGGCTGATGTCAACGTAAGTTGTCTAAGTGAAGAGATGATATATTTTAGTAGCAGAATCTGTATAAATGACATAAACATCAGTATTTTCTCAGAAGTCATTCACCGAAGCACACATTTTTCTTCTCTACAGTTAGAATCTGCATGAAAGAGAAAAAAAACCTGAATATATCCTCAGTAAGGTTAATCCTTACCTGTTCCTCCTTATGGAGAACAGAGATAGCGTGATGATTGGAGCACGCATGAGCCGTGATTAACGTCTTCGCGTGAACAGGACTCGCAACATCCTGTTTGCTCCTGTCTGATTTTCTTGAAAAAAAAAAAACAAAAAACCTGAATATAAATGCTTGTGTACTTACGCACTGGTCTTTAAGAAGTCATATCTTTTGGATTATTTTGTTTGATTAATTGTTACCTGGCACTTAAGAATGCTTGTTAAGATGAGGGAGAAAACTGTTTAAAAGTGATATGTGATTAGGTATTTTTGTCATGACAAGAGTCCAGAGCGAAGGCTACATAGTGGAGTGGACCTGGCGGGGAGGGATTGTAAAACAATGAAAGAATTTTTCTTTTACTTTTCCAGGAAGGGAATGTATTGGGTGGGGGGAGGGGAGAAAAGTGCAACAACGAATGAATGGAAATCCAAAGTCTCTGTAAATTTTCATTGAAATTAATAAAAAAATTAAAAATATATAGTCATATTTTCTATTTGTTCTTAAGTAACTTTTAGTTGTTTGTGTCATTTAAAAAAATCTATCAATTTCATCTAGGTTAAAAAATGTGCTGGAATATCCTTGCCCTAATATTCTTTTATAATTTTTTTATATCTATGAGTTGAATAAAGTTATTTTTTATTCTTTAAAAAAAAGAGTGCTTATTAAAATGTTGATTGCATAAATAAAATGATAATAACATTGTAAAGATTATAGAGACAATGAGTGGACCTTTCTGAAAGAACCCTGACTTTTGAATCCTATCTTCAGAGATTCTCTACAATATAATGGCTGTAAGACTGATTGTTTTGGCAATGATTAAACAAGATAAATTTAACCTACAGCATCTGCTGAGTTCTTTCTTATTCATGGTAATAACTTCAGTTTGATACATAGAATATCAACACTTCTTGAGATAATATTTCATTAAACAAGGCAAACATTTTTAATTTCTTAAGAACTTTTGGTTTTGCTGTTTTTCTAATATCTAATACAATAGGGAGTAAAATTATCTTACAGATAACTCATTCTTGAATGGCATACTCTACTGATCAACTTTTGAGCTTTCAGCAGAACCTTCAGAACATTTTCTAGTTGATATCTCCCTTAGTTATAGAGAGCTGCTATAAATACCACAAATGTGTGGCTTTAATAAATTGAAATTTATTTTCTTACAAGCTAAGTGGCCCTTAGTTCTAGGTTTGCTCTGTACTTTCTTGAAGAAAGCCTTTATCTTTTCTGAGATTCCTGGGTAGTCTTTATGTAGCTTGGCACTGTCCTACTTTTTTTATCTCAAAATAACTCAAGATATACCCTACACTAATCCTGTTCTATAACTATAACAAATACAACTCATTCCCAAATAGGATTATAGCATTGTTGTCTGCTGTCAAGTCAGAATGGACTCATAGCTGATCCTCCAATGGGTTTTCAGAGACAGCAAATTGCACAGGAAATTGCTCATCTGTCCCCTGCAAAGCAGTTGGTGGATTTGAACCTTTGGGTTGGCAGCACAACTCTTTGGCACTAAGCCACCAGAATTCTCAACCATAGGCATAAAGGTTAGGATTTACAAGAGATTTTTTTTAAGGAACATAATTCAATTCTAAACAGTATCCTTATTAGTTTTCTTTCTTAGCATGAAAATATCCAACAAAGTTTTTCAGATCTAAAGTTCTACTTCTATTATCCATTTAAGGAGCTCTCGTGGCACCTGGCATCTGTAGTGAGTTGCATTGCTGATTCAAAGGCTGCACCTCTCTGAAAGTCCAAATCCACAAGTGACCCCTGAGAGAAATATGGGCAATCTTCTCCTATGTGATTTACACCCTCCTGAAACTCACCAGAGGGGCAGCTAGAAAAAGGTTTTGACATTCAGCTCTGTGTGTGTGTGTGTGTGTGTGTGTGTGTGTGTGTGTGAGAGAGAGAGAGAGAGAGAGAGAGAGAGAAAAGAAGGAAGAACGAAAGCAAGGGGGGAAAGGGGGAGAGAGTAGCCATTAAATAATCACTCCATGTGAAAGACAAGTTAAGAATATTGATAGGTAAAGTTCATAGACTTTTTTTCATGTCCTGGACCGTTAAAAGTGAAGGAAAAATAATGTGGAAACGGGGGTGGCAAATGAAAGTGTAGGGAGAGAGAAATACCATTAAGAATTATTTTAAATGCTCCAAAAAGATTACAGACAAAAGAAGTTGGATCCTTAGTTGAAGAGTCATTTTCTTCTATTTGCACTCCAATGGTGGGCAAAAAATACCAAACAAGTCAAGGCAGGCCATATAAAATACATAAACTATTCCAGGCAATATGCTAGGTGTTAGATAGAGCTATCTTTAGGGTGATATTTTTTAAATGACTAACCATTGTTGTTGTTGTTATGTGCTGTCAAGTCTCTTGAAACTCATAGTAACCCTATGTACAATAGCTCTGAATCCTGCTCTATTCTGAGCCAAACTTATTTTCTCTGACACAGTTACTCCCACTACCCCAGTCACTGAGTCAATCCATCACCGAGGGTCTTCCTCTCTTGTGCTATCCCTTCACCCTCCTGAGCATAATGTCCCTCTCCAAGGACTGGTCCCTTTTTGCAACAGGTTAAAAATATGTTAGACAGAGCTTCAGAATCCTTGCCTCCAAGAAGCAGCCTTGTTTCACCTCTCTAGGATTAACCTGTTTTTTCTCCTAGCAGTCTGTGGTATATTCAATACTTTTTTCCCAGCACCACAGCTCGAAGGTATCAATTCTCCTTCTATCATCCCTAGTCATTGTCCAGCTTTCTGATGTATAGCAAGTAATCGCAAAGACTGTGGCCTGGATCAGGCACACCTTAGTCTCCATACAGTCATCACTGCTCTTCAGTATTCTGGATATTTTCCTGACTGAAGACTTTCCCAGTGCAATTTGTCTTTTGAGTTCCTGACTGCCTGTACCAGGAGTGTTGATTGTGGAGCTAAGCAAAATGAAGCTATTAACAACCTCTATTTCTTCAGAGTCTATCATGATGCTGCCAGTTGGCTGCGTGGTAAGAATCTTTGTTTTCTTGATGTTGAGCTTCAATTCATAGTGAAGGGTACAGTCCTTGACCTTCTGTAGCAAGTGCTTCAGGTCCTCCTCAGTTTTAGCAAGGAACGTTGCTTCAACTGCATAACGCAAATTGTTGATGAGTCTTCCTCCAATCCTGATGCCACATTCCTCCGCATAGAGCCTGGCATCCTGGATGAACTGTTCTGCATATAGATTGAAAAGGAATGGAGATAGGACACATTCCTGGCACACATCCTTCCTGATTTTAAACCATGAAGTGATTAACAGAGGTAGTAATAATTTTAAACAAAGTACTTCTATGTCAACATGTACTTACTGACTTCCTGTGATATGCCAGGCAATTCAAACACAACATGAAACCAGACACCTACTACTTCTATAAGTGTGTTTAGCTACTTTAGTTTTCAGCCAAGGAACATCTCTCTTAAAAGGTAACAGAAGACATGTTGTTGTTGTTGTTATGTGCCGTCGAGTCGCCTGCGACTCATAGCGACCCTATGTTCAACAGCCCTAAACTCTGCTCTGTCCTGTGCCAATCCCACTGTCTCCGACACTCCCATCCCAATTATCCCAATCACTGAATCAATCC